CCCCCGGAAGATAAACGGCCGGATCCCCGACGGCAGGGTGGCTCCTATTCACGGCTCATCATCGCCGAGTGAAAGGAGCAGGCAGGGGGAGGATAAGCCCCGCTTTCAGGGACCGGCGCTCCAAACCACTCATCACTGTCACCGAGCTCGCTCATGCCTTGGCCCTAAACACCGGCGATTAATAAAAGTTTACTGTCGCTTTTCTCCAATAATTACACTCAGGCTGCGGGCCGGGAAAAACCGAGAGGGCTCAGATCTGCGCGTTACCTGCGGGGATGCTCCACCGCTTCTCCAGCCGCGGCGGCCCCGTTGGCTCCCTCCTCTTCCCCCCCAAGAAAACCTGCTTCTCTTCCCCCAAAGAAAACCTGCCAGCCACGACGGAGACGAGGGTAGAAGCGAGCCCCGAGCCCGCACCCGACGGCACCCGGCGGCGGCTCGGAGCCCCCGTTTCCACTGAGCCCGCTCCGGTCCCGGTTCCCGTGAAGTCAAGACCGAGCTTCGGCCGCATCGGTTGGCATAGATTTATTGGCTTTGAGCGGAAACTCACCGGTTTACGCTTCCGAGGAGGGTTTGAATGGATGAGGACTGAGAAAAAGTTGCCGAATTTGGCCAGTAATAAGGCTGGAAGAATGGAGTGCTAATACTGAATTGTGCATGTACTGGGGAGGAATTACACAGCATCAGACTCGGGCTTCTAAACAGGGACAGTGCCAAATTTCTAATAACTGTGTAATATGCTTATTTATACCATACAAGGACTTACAAACCTCATTGTGCATAGCAGCTGGGTCATATTTCTTTACCCTTCCATTCCTCAGGCTCTTTTGCCAAGAGACTGGTACCAAACACTTCTAGGCTGAAAGGAAAACACAAAATTAAATTGCAAAGAAACGATGACAGGAAGCATGGGTAAGATACGGGCTGACATGCCGCCCTTTAATCTTAAGCATCTGCCTAAAATAGATGCACTAAGGGGGTATTGAAAATATGCACGGTTTTAAATGCAAGTGATTCTCTGCTTCTAAATCGTTCAGGCACGTTTTCGCCTGACCTGGGTATGTTCGTAGGCTCTAATGCTTTGTTTTAGACGATTAAGTAAATATTTTAACGAATGTTTTAAAACTCTGTAAACTAATGTGTTACTTAGCCTTGCACCAAGCTCCACCGCAACTGAGTAAATCAAACGAACAATCATATTCCGATTTGGTTTTAAATATCTGGGGGATATTTGATAATTTTGTCCCAGCGTACCAAGTGTACTTACCTCTAGTAATTTCAAGCAGAACTCTGTAGGATGCAAACAGGCAATGTTCGCTATGTAACCGGTAATAATTAAACTATGAACGATTATTCATGTATCTGGACATTTTTTAAAAGCTGAAGTATTTTACAAATAAAAGCAAACGATTGTAGAATTGTTTCAATTTTTAAAAATAACACTAATTTTGCCTAACTGCTCTGGATTTTTATTTTTGAACGTGCTGTCTTACTATTTTTTAAAGTAGCATCTAGAAAAATAACATTTTAAGTTCATTGCACGTTTCTTACGGGACAGACTTTACTGTGAGCTCGGCAACGCTCTGTAAGAATGAATAGTCCAGAGATCACTGCCCTAGTGAACGTCAGACTGAGATCGTCCCCAGTGGTCTTTCCTAGCCAAAGGTCTGATTTAACTTCAATACATAAAAAAAAAAAAAAATAAAAAAAAATCTCCATCTGCTTTGCAATTACTTTTTTGTTTTTTAATGAAAAGAGCCCTAAGGCTACGGCGTGCTGGAACATGGGAGCAGGCAAATGGGGCCATGCCGAAATGAAAATAATGGTTTAAAAAATAAAACCAGAACAATGCCCAGCGCTCAGCATGTGGTGATTTTTCTGCAGTCTGGCTGCAAGCGCCACAGTGGCCACAGCTCCGCTCTGCTTCCTGCACCAAGCCAAAATGGTGCCGCCGGGACAGGGTCTGAGCAGGCCCTGCCATCACCGCTCCACACGCGGCTGCTGCCGCCACTGTTACAGCAGGTCAGTGGGTCAGCGCCTCTGGTTGCCGGTTAGATGTGCCGTGGTCACCAGCACCGCCAGGTAACCTTGGCCGAGGCCTGGAGGAGAGCCCAGGAGAGAAGGGACTTGGGCAACAGCATGAGTTGGGGTGGTAGATGTGTGCGTGGAGAGGGGAAAGCAGCCCCGTGGCAGCTCAGCATCCTGCGGACTGTGGTGGAGCGGGAGGAGGACGCATGGAACCTCCCGGGTAAGCTGCTCTGGAGCACATGGGCTACGAGCAAAAATGAGACGCAACATAAATCCACCAAGTGACAACACTGCAAGTCATTTCTCACCAGGCAGGAAGAAAAGAGGAGAGGCTTGTCTCAGAAGCCTTGCATCAGAGCGAGAAACTGCCTTAAGGTATTGCAAAACCAGACCAGTGCACTCAGAGCAACGCGTCGTGGCTCTGCACGGTGTACTTGGCATCATCCACCCGGCACTGTGCAGGGGATGAGGGGCTCGGGGCAAGTCCTGCCCAAAGTGGTTATTTAATTTGTGCAGGGGATGAGGAGGAGGTTACTGCTATGGGATATCGCTGTTCCCCAGGGTGAAGAGGAAAACAACGGCCTGGGTGAGAAATTCCCAGCGGGAGGGATGAAGGCAGCCAGCTGCTGGCACTGTCTCTGTCCTGGACCTGGATGCAGACCCTGCCGGAGCCCCCGATGTGGCACAGCGCGCTGCTCTGGTGTGGCAACTGGGGCCAGTCCAGTCAAACAGCCACATCTAAATATTACACCCCAGCATGGACCCTCACCTCTGGGACAGACCCTGCTCAACAGCAGCCCGAGCAAGGCAGCCACAGCAATGCACAAGCGCGTGCCAGTAGTGCCTGGTGAGCACCCCTGTGCTTTGGGACGGAGGCTGCAGCCCACGCTCCCACTGTTTACCTTAGTCTCCCCGTTGCTATTTAGGCAAAAGCATCATCTCAGCCATCGGCAAAGCCACCACCTCCCAGGCCGGCGCACGCAAGCCCGCACTCCCCGCCAGACCCCGCGGCTCTTCTTGGCCAGTGCTTTTCCGCCATGGTGCTGCCCAGAGGGGAAACCTCCTCCTTCTCCCTGGGCCGGGGCCAGACCCCGGCAGCGGGTCGGAGCAGAGCTCAGCACTGTAGCTACAGACGGAGGGACACCCCCTCTTTGGCGCTCAGGGAAAACACTAAGCCAGGAGCAAACAGGGACCCTGGGGATTTAAACACTTGCCAGACACCTACGACGGTTGTGTATCATGCTCCTGGGGGTCAGCCCTGTCTCGGGTCCCTGTTAAATCACCCAGGGCAGATTTAAGGGGCATGAGGCTTTCGGGGAGCAGGAAGGCAGCTGTGATTTAAAAGGGTGGAGGGGAGCAGCGAGCAGCGCAAGCAACCAGTCTCCGAGCACAGGGGCTCACGGGCCGGAGTGGAGAGGCACAAACACGCGTCCGGATGTGGAGCTGCTGGCGAGGAGGCAGCCAGACGGGATGGAGGAAGGCGAGGTGAGAGGCAGATGAGAGCAGGGAGGAAGGGAGCTGCTCGGGGGTCTGGGGAGCAGCAGGCTGCGGAGGGAAGGGGCTGCCTGGGGAGGGGTTTTGCTTGGCAGGGCAACGCAGTCGCCTCGGGTTTCTGCCCTGCAGATGAGGGGGGAGCAACTGCGGGGCCACCCCCAGCCCTGGGAGGCTGCAGAGCC